TGGCCCTGGGCGTCGACCTGCCCTTGACTACATGGGAATCCAGCAACACAGCCATTACGCCATCAAGTCCTCGAGTGTCGCCTGGCGAGGCCTTCTCTGGCCATCCTGTTTAAACCTGCCGTTAGCCACACCACTACCAGCCTCCATTTTTCTTTGACTTTTGTTCTCTCGTCTGGTTTCTGTGCTGTAGGCTGTGTGTGCTTGCTGGAGAGCGAGAAATCACCTCGCAGGGGGGATGGCCATGCTGCGACCCCTTTGGGATTTGTGGCATGCACATTTGCCTGGCGTGTGTTTTCAGACCTCTGGATCTGGGCTTCATATGTCGTAGTTGTCCAAGTGAGATCAAACTGCCTCAACCACCATGCCACCAGCTGCCCCCTTCATTTTTTCCATAGTATTTCGAGACCTACAGAAAGGTGACATTGCTGGGAACCAGCAGTTAGCGTAATGGCTATGTCGCTGGACTCCCACATAGTCGACCGCGGTTCGTGTCCCGGACACGGTGGCTTAAAACTCACGCCGGGCGCGTGTGCGTGCGTGCCCAAGATCCCGAGAGGAGAATGGAGGAGAAGGGATTGCGGCGTGACCATCCCCCCTGGGGGGTGATTTCTCGCTTTCTGTCTCTATGTCTCTCTCTGTCTGTCTGGCGAAGCGCACGCGCCCTACAGTGAAAATCTCTCCAAAAAAAAAAAGAAAAGTGACACTGCTTTGATGTCAGCTTTTCTCCACACCTCGGCCAGCACTGTCTTATTTCTGATCATTTTTATTAATTTGATAGGACAGTGTTTTTGCATTGTAGTTTTAATTTATATTTTTCTAATTATTCCTAAGTTAAACTTGTTTGGGGGCTGGCAGGTGGTGTGGTAGTTAAGTATGCTGGACTCCCACATGACTGACCATGGTTCAAGTCCTGTACCTAGAGGCTTCCTTTCTCACTTTCCCTCCCTCTCTCCCTCTCTCTCTCTCTGTATCTCTCTAGAATATTAATCATGATAAAATAAGTAAAAGTTAAATAAAATAATACTTTTTAAAAAGCTGTTTGTGTTCATCACTTCTATGGGTGGGCTCCTCATAAACCTTTTGCCCATTGGGGCCCATTTCTGTTGCGTTCATTTGCGTGAGCTCTAGCATATCAACCCTCTGTTATCCGAGTTCCCAGTTGGTCATTTGCCTTTAAGGTCTGACATGGCAGAGTGCCAGCCGGCCAGCCGTCTGCCCTTGCCCGTCTGCCTCTGCGTGAACATGGAGCACACTGGACCTGTGTACCCTTACCTAGCCTGGAGTGGCGTCACAGATGCAGGACAGGGGCCGGTGTGAGCCTAGACCTCGTGTGGCAAGGCCGCAGAGCTGGAGACTGTGTTAGACACCATAAGGGATCCAAACAGCCCAGAATGTCACGTAGAACTAGGAAGCAGGTGTGGGGCGGGAAGGACACAGGATTTTAGTTAGCCACCATGGGATGAAAATGATTTAAATATACTTAAAAATCGCTTTACTGCATCTGCAGTGAGGGTGCCTTTACTGTCTGTGTTTGGTCTTGCCTTATTGTTAATCATATTGTTATCTTAATTTTTATTTTAGACATTTCTCCCCAACTAGATTATGAGCTTCTCAAGGGCAGATAACCCATTTACTTTATTTATTGGAGAGGTTTTTGCTATAGGGCATGGGCGCTCACTAGGAAGACAGAGACAGAAAGAAAGCGAGAAATCTCCCCCCAGGCATGAGTTTAAGCCACCGGGTCCAGGACTCGAACCGCAGTTGACTTTAAAACTCCTATTTCTGTATTTGTTCAAGTCAGTGACTTATCTAGGCTGATTTCTGTGCACTCCAGACATTTGAGTTGCCTTCGTACAGCAAGGACACAAGCCTGTCGTTTACCCCTGCCGAGGCACTCATGAAGCACAGATGAACCCTGCATGTGGGAACTCCTCTTAGACTGGAGAGAGGCGTGCAGGTATCTATGGCACTTGAGTGTCTGCCGCGAGCTGACATAGGGCCCTGGGGCTGATAATGAGAGGGCAGGAGCGAAAAGAAAGCAAGCGTGGTGGGACGCTGAGTGCTCCCGAGCTGGGGGGTGCATTTCATCTTTTAATAGTTTCATGTGTTTGAAAATTTTCATAATAAAAAGTAGGGCTATGGATGCTAAAACAAACTAGGCAAAATTGTGGGTATATTCATATTTGAAGAAATGCTTTGTCGATGGGAAATAACCAGCCCTGTAAAAATAATTAATGCTATTTATTTCTAAGCTGAATTTGAGTGACCTAGGCCGGAGAGGAGGCAAAACATGCCTCGCTCGGGGTGATCAAGTACAGGGGTTCCTTTTATTTGGTTTTGAGAGTGAGAGACAAGAGTTTGAATTTAGTGAAAAGTTCTTCCATTGGTCTGGCCCAAAAAGGTGGGTCCTGCAGGAGGAGGGGGGGCATTGCAGGTTAGAGGTGGGTTTTGCAGTCTTTATGGTGATGGCAGAAAAAGGAAGGTGGCTGAGGTCAGAAAGGAGCATACTCGAACAGCAAGAGCCATGAGGAGGCTCCATACACACCACAGAGAAACCGCAGGACTACGCCAGGGCAGGGTGTAGGGAGAATCCTGTTACTGAGGGGCCAAACGGTCTGTCAACATCTGTGGGCGTGACTCCCTCTAAGCCCTCTGGAAACATTTTGGGAAAAAATAGGAAAAAGCAGACTTCTGTCCACAGCTTTAACCTAAGTTTTATTTTCCTCAACCAGTTTCAAATAAGGAGCAAATAGTTTGTAAGGGACGAATTCGTCCTCAGAATGGGTATTTACACCCGTATTTCTGTGCTTTCAAGAGCTTCTCACCTACCTGTCTCTAGCAATTTCCTAGGTGGGCAGAATTCACTGTCGGGGCCAGCAGACATAGTGGTTGCATCACTGGACTCCCGCACGGCTGGCCTTGGTTCAAGTCCCAGACCCAATGGCTTGAAACTCACCTTGGGCACCTGTGCATGCCCAAGATCCCAGGAGGAGAATGGAGAAGGGACTGCAGTGTGGCCATCCTCCCTGGGGAGTGACTTCTCTCCCTCTCACTGTCTCTCTCTGGCAAGCGCACGTGCCCTAAAGCCAAAATTTCTTAAAAAAGAAAGAAAGAAAGAAAACAGAAATAAGAATCAGTGTCCACCCTAACACTCCCAGATTCTCACGGGTAGGACAATCAGCTCGTCACACAGCGTTCCTCTGAAATGCCGCATTTGGAGTGCGGCCCTCAGAGAGATGGCCCCACAGTACATTCTGCCGGTCCGGTAGAAGCCTGGTGATGTTCCCGTACATCCTGAAT